TCACAACGATTGTAAAGTTTCTTGAAAAAATATTTTGGTGTATCAACTAGTTAGTAAAATGTTATGAAATAATACCAGTTAATTCACTAATAGGTACGTATAGTATAAACATGTTTATTCTAAAGATTTTTATTAACTATTCAGTATTGCAAAGAAAATGATTATTTAGCACAAAATAACTCCGAGGCACTTAAATTTATATTGTAATTCCTTATAACATGGATGGATTTCTGTATTTATTTCTCAACGTAAAGAGACCAACATTAATGAGTCTGAAGGATTTTAAACAGTCACTACACCTTCATTAAGGTACAATGTGAGCATTGAGGGGCAAGAAAAAGTCCAACTGTCTTCATTTCCGTGGACACTTACATTTTATTACATGGAACACGTGTTCAGACTCGCAATTAAATGTGTACAACTACTGCCTTAGCCAAAGCACTTTCTTACTATCATCCCAAAACATAATGTTGCACTTCTATCCTATTGCTTAATTAAAGCGTAATACGAATAACGAAGGCATTTGCTTACATCCATAATTGGTTTAAATATACTATAATTGATTTATTATGCAGCTTAAAGTTTTAACTCACCTTCTAAATCTTCTTAACCAAGTTCTTTTTTCTTAAGCAACCAAGCAAATGTATATAATATACTAGTATGTACCTACAATGTTCATATTCACAACCCACAATACCGATGCAGTAGGCTATTTAACAATGATTACCCTGCTCTTTTAAAATGCCTATTTAATCGATAAAAAGCTTTAAACAAGCATGAAAAATGAGGATATGGTTTGTGAATGATACAGTAATTGAGGATTAATTTCAAGAATTTACTAAGCGATCTTTTACAACACAGCGTCCAGCTGGGCGGAAGGTAGCTATCGGAAGCCGTATACGATAATTAAGCCAAAATCACTCGAAATAATTATTTTAATGGCGGAAGAGGAACACTTGCGCCTCATTTTTGTCATTCTGAAATAAATGAACCCAAGTTATTCTTATCGCGATTTTAATATATCTGTAGATATTTTTTTTGGTCCTGCAAATATTTTATCTGAAAATAAAGTGATTAAAATTAAAGAATTAAGAGACTAGATTTAAATCTAATATCTTAATTAATTTAACTAAAGTTATACAATCTATATATGTAAACTGTAACTTAAAAACTTATTTACTGTATGCATTACAGCAGTCTTTGTTTATACGAGTATATGTAGGTATGCCTCTACAACTCACGGCACACAATACCTCTATTAATATCCTTATGAATGTCGTTAATGCTTAATTATATGAATAAAACAAGAATAATTATTATATGTAAATGCATCTGTATATTAATAAGTCGTGTGTGCAGGTGTGCGTGATGCACTCAATGCATTTTATTTGCAATTATACTCCATACAACAATAGTGACTAGTCTGAGTAATTTATGTAAAATGTCAAGCAAATGTAATGAGTTAGTGCTTATTAGAAAATTCTATGTTCGTCAGAGGAGTACAAATCATTAAACAGTGAAGTGCCGCAAATGGGGGTCCAAGAAATATTATTTTAACAATTCAATTCACACCATCGCGATGGTCGGACTGTTATTATTAAGTAAAAATCTATAATAGCAGCCTTCGCCCGGCTATTTTTCTTTTTTATTGGATAGGTATGTTTTAATGGTTCTTACCTATGGAATAGATTTTATTATAACGTCGAACGACGTGAAAGAAGGACAAACAAACAAACAAACAAACAAACAAACAAACAAACAAACAAACAAACAAACACACTTAGACATATTTATAGTATGTATAATTATCACCTTTTTGACTGACTTATTTAATTGTTAAATGTCAAAAAAAGCTATCTATTTAGTCTTTAGCTACGGCATTATGTAATAGGCTTTCAATAATTTTAACCCTCTAGATCCAGATGTTGAATGATCTAGAAGTTGATGTGTCAGTAAAAAGAAGCAACTGAGGGCATACATATATATGTACATATAACGTAATGTGTATAGATTAGTTCTGTAATACCTATACGATATAAATTTATTAACAGAATACAAAAAGAATTCAGCAGTTTATATCTTCGGAACGTTTATGATACAAGATATTGTCAATTTTAAATCAATAAAATCAATCGTTTTATTCAAATTAGACATATTACACGTTTCATTTTGCAAAATCACACCAAACTAACGTTTTTTAGGTATGGGGCTCTATAATTTAATAGAGTTCCATATATTTTATATTCATGTTTAAATACCTTACCAGTGATATTTAAATACGGTGAGGCAATCACACTAATATTATGAATGTAAAAGTTTGTATGTATGTTTATTACCTACTCCTTAACGCTGAAACCTACCTAGGCTATATAGGACATGGCTTTTTAAAAGATAGCGCTGCCTTTTATATATATATAATAATTATAAAAGCATCAAGAGAAAAACCCGAACTAAGCGAGGTTAAGTTGTTCGCATCTTTATATGTGATCAATATAGGTATCCACCAAATTATTTGTTGGCTTATATCTGCGACTCAACATTTAAGAGGGTATAACTGTAGAGGTACATAATAAAGCAGTCTATATGCCGATATAAAGTAGCCTTTAAGTATATTAATTAAAGAAATAAGCTCCATTTTAAAATTCACTGTCTGTTGATCCGTATGAACATTACAAAATACTTATGGTATCTGTTTACTAATTTTCGCATCTATGATATTAGTATCACTAGCACCCTGCATCGACATCGACCGTTTAATCTAAATTATTTCCTATATTTACTTTATTCTTGAGAAAGGACTTTTGTAATATGTCAACGTACTATTACAAAAATCCTTTCTTAGGTTTCTTTAGGTTCACCAGTTTGGTTCGGACGTTGATAAATCAATTACTACATATAACTTTATAGGTATGTAGATGACATCGGAAAATTTGAAAAAATAATACAGCCTATTTTATTTCGAAATACAAAGTAATATATTCTTATTCGATCTTCAAATAAAATTATTCTTACCAGTAAGCCAGGATCAACCTGCGCTATCTCGAGTCTTTCAAATCTCATTTCCGATAAAGGATATCGTTCCTATGGAATTACTGCACACAAAGATGCTCGTACGCAATGAGTCAAGTGCAGCTGCTGGCTTCGACGAGTAAATCACAATGCCGGAGTTCGCAATTAATGTCTGCGTGATTCGCAACAATCGCAACCGCTCCGTGTGATCGTCCACTATCGAAAATTAAAACGTAAATATTTTATGAAAAACCATATCTACAAATGTATAGTATAATGAGGCAATAATATTAACAATTTAATATGTTTGCTACAAAACTGGATAAGTGTGGATGTTTATACAGCCATTGACAAAAATTATATTAAGAAATGATCGATAAGAGTTATTGTCAAATTATTAGGGTACTTATTATGCTAATCACGTGTAACCTGTCTTAGTTCACATATTACGTTTTTTGCTGTCTATAAACGATCTCGTGTTTCGTCTTGGACAAGAATACGTACGAAACATTTAAATGATATCAGAACGGTTCAGCTAGAAGATCGAAGCGGGCACCGACCGTGGGAGAGCAGTACAAATCTCAACATCTCAGAACTGGTCGGCAGGTGTGCAAGACGCGCACACACTCTCACGCCCACGCACACACACGCCACAAACCAGCCGCACTTATGAATGAAGCCTGCGTCCGCGCAACACGCACACATACCCAACGCAATCTTGCTTGTTTATCTCTGATTTATTTTATTCCAAGCCATCGGGACTCAGAAAGAATCAACTATTAATTTGTTCCTCCCTACTCGGTAAATAAATACCTTAGATGAAGTAATTAATCCGTCGATAATAATCATCGGCAGATCAAGTCACCTATGATTAGAAGATACAAACCGCTGTGGACACTAATAGTCTGTCACTCTCCAACTTTATATCTCTTAACTTATACTCCAATGTAAATTACGTCGAGACGGTACAATTAAAGTTTCAAGTTAGTTTCAGCTTGTATTCTGTAGCGATTTAGATATCAGAACTTTATAGCGTAAACAACGGTATTACTTAATGAAATCAGAGCTTTTGAAGTTCTCGCTATAGGTAGACGTCATGAGATAGGTGAATTAATAGGAGAAAAGCCAGTTACTGGTAACTGGTATTACACCTCTGTAATCAATGATCAGTAATTTCGACGCCATCGCTAGCTACCTAACTCTAATCAAACCCTTTAACTATCCAATGAAACATCTTGGCTACTTATTTTCTCAATAGGTCTAATTAACTTTAGCGCTTCCATACTGAAGTTAACCGACGTCTTCCATTACACTGCCATGTTGTATCGATAGTTTAAATTACATCTTTAAGCGTATGTATAAGCAAATAGACGAGCCTCTATTTAGTCAAAGTATATATGATTATGAACATATTTTTAGAACTTGAGTACGGCAAGTATAAAATGTAATCTACATAATATTCATCATATAATCTTAAACACTTGTGATTTAACTTTGCTTCGGGATCTTCGCATCGTTTCCTGTAGAGAAATTATATATCCTAATATGACTTACCAAAACATAAACAAAACACTCTATAAACAAAAAAAAATTCTTTATCTAGAAAAGAATAAAATTTTGATTGCTGTTGTTGTACAATGAACGCCAGTCGAAGCACCAATCTTTGTCAATCGTAAACAGAACGAGTTTCGATATATCGAGATAAGAGAACATCGATCGCTCGATCTATAAGCACCCTTAACCTTATCGGAGGATTATTAAAAAGGCTTTTATCTTATGAACTTAATGTAAGTTCATGTACCTCATTGTTACTTGATTCTAGATGTAGTACATGCATAGGTATAGATTCTGCAATACAATAAAATATGACATACACAATTTAAGGCTTTTTTCATCTATAAATCTATTTTAAATATTAATCTAATTTCTATAATTAGAAACGTAACACGTCTTAATCTGTCAAATTAATAAAAAAATTTTTGTTATTACAGACATCCCGTCGCAGGTGCCGCCGCTCACGCCCGGCACCAACAAGAAGATGGCCGAGGCGCTGAAGGCTACCTTCGCTTCTTGGGAGAAGGAGCAGTTGCGCCTCGGCGTACCAAAAGGTTTATTTTATTTTCATTATTCTACCATTTTGATGGTGTGTAACATAACTACCACTGTCAAAGGTTCCAGGTTCGATTTCCACCAAGGATAAACAAAGAATAAGTTAAATTATTGTACCAAATTATCTTTTGAGCGCTTAATGTAATAACTAATAAGAAGTATTTTTCAACCGACTTCAAAAAGGAGGAGGTTCTCAATTCGACTGTATGTTTTTTTTTTTTTTTTTTTATGTTTGTTACCTCAGAACTCCGTCATTTCTAAACCGATTTGGATAATTTTTGTGTCGTTTGAAAGGGTATACTTCCAGATTGGTCCCATTTAAATTTCAAAAAAAAATACCACCCCTAAGGGTGGAAAAACTACTAATGATGAATTTAACCTACTTCTAATTGTCATATTGACTTGAAACTTTGCAAGTATTTCTATTTCCGTTGATAGTACAGTGGTTCGGTGTTGTTGAACTGATCTGATGGCAAGGCCAGAAGGTGGATAGGTGGAACTCTTCAACGGCTAATAGTAGATACTTTGAGTTTGGGCTTATTTTGTTTGATTTGACAAGCCTAACACGTTAGAATCCTTACTTTTCTACTACTGTCTACACTAAAAAGGGAAAAATAAAAACTTTTTAACAAAAAAATAAAAACCGACTTCAAACAAAAGCACTAAAAAGTAAAAAATAACTGATTGGTAGTTTTCATTTACTATACATACCTAATCAAATATTTTCGAAGTCGGTGTGCTTTGGCTAAGTAATTAGATCCTACCTATTAAATACATACCTAATCAAATATTTTCGAAATCGGTGCCAGCCCATACAAAGCAAAGCACACCGACTTCGAAAATATTTGATTAGGTATGTATAGTAAATGAAAACTACCAATCAGTTATTTTTTACTTTTTAGTGCTTTTGTTTGAAGTCGGTTTTTATTTTTTTGTTAAAAAGTTTTTATTAAGTTTCATCTTTTAGAAACTTAGCTCACTGTAAAATCCTACATTCTTCATGATGATCTTACAGTGACATTACAAAAGTATGAATGTTAATAAGTCTCGCATCATTTAAACTTAGTAATTCTTAAACCAATAGCTTTTATATTACTAATAAGAAATTTAATTTATTGTTTTTCCACACTCCTATATGTCGTCGATCATAAAAATAAATTTTATTAATATTTTGCAATACTATTTCTTTAATTTATGTAAATGTTGCTTTGCAGAATTTAAAATTGGATATCAACATTATAGCTAAAATATACATAGTAATTTTTATTATCATTACTTATTCAATGCTCATAAAAATATAACACTGAACGTCTTACGTTATAGTGATATTTTTATGGTCCTCGATTCAAAATCGCTTCGACTTTAACTTTGTGGCAAGAGACATTTAATAAAACATTCTAGCGAAATATGGTAGTCTCTATTTTATACTTGTATAAACAGTATTTCATTTCGAATCGTTCAACGTTCAGTCGTGCCATTTTATGATCAGGAACGAAAAGCAATAAAACATATAAAAATATACTTTTAAAAGTCAGTCGCTGTAGATCAGAAAGATAGAAAGAAAAATGTTTAAAGTTGATTTACAAATATACGTTCAACCTGAAGGAGTAATAAATGCTACGTGTAAGCAAATTATTGTGTAATAATAAAACCAGAGTCATTTCTATATATAAGAATGATCAAATGAAGTTTATTTCAATAATATAAAGTGTACATCAAATGAAAAATCAACAAAAAGAAATGTCATACCTTAAGCTAGTGTCACTAATAATAAATATTATGATGTCCTTAAAAATGTAACCCGATGATATGTTCTTAATAGTGATAGAATTATAACTTAACTAGTAAAAAAATATAAATGTTTTTTTTTGAGCACACGCAATTTGAATATAAAATAGTTCAGAGGAAAAAAAATTAAAAATAATGGGTTCATTCACTCTTCGATACTTATACCAAGTTTCTGCTTATTAGCATTTTATAAAACATTGAAATAGTTATTTATAATTATATATTATATTATCTATAAAAAAATAAAAGCCGACTTCAAAAAAAACACTTAAAAGTAAAAAACAGCTGATTGTTAGTTTTCATTTTCTGTAGATACCTACCTAATCAGACATTTTCGAAGTCGGTGTACTTTGATTTGTACCTATCGGCTGGCACTGGTCTTTATTTTTCCATTTTTAGTGTAGACATAATAGTAACAAAGTAAGAAGAAAGTATTTTAATAAATTATTCCCTTAGGTAAGCATAATTTAAATGCCATTTTTATATGAAGACTGACAAACTAAAATTCGCTTGTATTAGTAACACTAAAAATCAGGCTCTAAAATCCAGTTTTAAGGTATTGAGTTTGTCAAATCAAACAAAATAAGCCTAAGCTCAAAGTATCTACTATTAGCCGTTGAAAGAGCTCCACCTATCCAACTTCTGGCCTTACCTGCATTATCAACGGCAATAGAAAATAGAAACCCTTGCAAAGTTTCAAGTCAATATGAATATTAGAAGTAGATTAAATTTTCTTTAGCTATTTTTCCACCCTTAGGGGTGATATTTTTTTTCAAATCAAATCAAATCAAAATATTTTATTCAGCATTAAATTATTACAATATTTTACTGAACGTCATGAGTCTACTACCAGTTCGGGAAATAAGAAGCCTCAGGCCTGAGAAGAACTGGCGAAAGAAACTCAGCGAGACTAATATTATTTCATTATCTTTTTTTATAAAGTTAAATTATAATTTACAATATTTCTATCAATTTGAAGTAGCCTGAAGGCGATCATTTCATTCCCAAGGTGTGCCATCTTCTATAAAATCATTTATTGTATAATAGCCTTTAACACACAAACGTTCTTAAAAATTTTTTTGAATTTGGCGATAGAAGCCTTTTGAACATTTTCTGGGATCCTGTTGTACAAGCGTATACATTGTCCATAAAAAGAAGTACTGACTCTGTGTAGACGAGTCACAGGCATTACAAGTTTGTGTTTGCTCCTAGTATTAATGTTATGCATGTCACACTTCTTGGGAAAATCGTGTATATTTTTACAGACATACATAACATTTTCGTACACGTACTGAGAAGCACGTATTCATTCAAAAAATTGACCTATCTGGAAGTACCTATACACTTACAAACAAAACAAAAATTGTCCGAATCAGTTAATAAATGACGGAGTTCTGAGGTAACAAACATAAAATAAATACAGCCGAATTGAAAACCTGTTTATTTTTGAAGTCGGTTTTTTTAAATATTTAAAAATAGGTACATCTAGATTTTAAAACGCTTATATATTCAATTAACGGTTACACAAAATTACAAATCTCGCCACGCCACGTGCAAAGCGTTTATAAAAAAAACATTTGAAATTAAAGTTATTTTGCTAAATTATTTATTATGCTGAATACATAATTAATATATTTGTACATATATAGACACATATAATTTTAGAATTCTTAAAAGCTTATTACAAAATGTCTACCTTTCAATCTAAATTGATTTAGTAAAAACACGATACCTTATAAATATATAATTTAGCACAGCAATAAGATGTTCAGGCCTACTACATACTAGTTTAATTTATTTGTTTATTAGGTTCACTAGTGGCAATTATAATACAGATGACAATTTATTATTATATACGAGTACAATGGTTCTTGTAGCAATGCATTTAGCATTACCTTTTAAGGTGAATACCATATTTATTAGAGAGTTTATAAAATATTTAATAACAATATAGGTACTAACACTAAAAACCTAAAATGAAAATAATGATATAAAATATGATAACTGCATTAAAAAAGAAAAGTAAAGATATAAGAATATTTTACATAAAATATTCGAAGTTCTCAGGACTTAAAATTTTTGCATATCCGTGTAAATATTTTAATTTTTCATGTACCTATCATAAAGCACATCACAGGTGACGAGTTCGACGCCCGTCGCGACGGAAGTGCGTGCGTCTGTCTGCGCCGTGTCTATTCGCGCTTCCGTCCAGCGAAACACCACGCTTGTTACTCGCATTATCTATTCCATATCAGATTTATTATCTGGCTATATTCATATGCAATATTTGGTAGTTGTACAGTTACAAATACGCAAAGTTCATATTTACATTTTTTTATTATATGGAATAATATATTTTTCATAACATTATTCGAATATATTTTTTGATTGTTTGTACTTTATTTCTAGAACCACTCGTCGAATTTTAAATATATTTTTATTATTTTATAGCCTATTTACTGAGAAAGGAGGCCTATCTAACATTAGTCTACGAAGCTTAGGAGGAAAGCAATTATTAGATAAATAAATTCTACATGAAACCTTTGACTTTTTCCTGACTAGGACAATATACATATTATATTATGACTCTATTTTATATAGATTATGTTATTATAATAATATTTATGTATCAATTAATTTTAGTGTAAACAAATTTGTTGAGACATATTTAAAAAAAGATAACGATAACATATCCCCCCAATAAGTTCAGGTGTGTGATACAATGTATTGGAACATTTGCACTCAAATTACACATTAGTTGTCGTGGAATTGTTCATGTTCATAAAGTGACTCATAAATGTTAACAACCGGTTTTGAAATGCATTTCAGTTGATTAACACCTTACGATTGAGTTTAACCCTATACATGGCATCGACTATATTGTCAATACAATATAGGTACATTCAATTTTGTTTTACAAAGTTTTATTTAAAAAAAATGTTAAAGTGCAACAGAACTAAATGATTTTAATTCTAAATAAATATTGGTATTACGTACATATTGTAACAACTTAACATTAGCCATTTCTGGTTTTACGAGATATGTTTTTTATCTAATTTGACACTTAAATATTTTTGGTAGATGTTAGTTTCTTAGGTAAAAACTTTACGCTAAGACCACAGTTGAATATATTTACATGAAAGTTCTTCATGTGTAATCACTGTATTCACTTGCGACGATAGCTCAAAGATTCTATGTAATTGATAAAGAAACAAGACGGTGGAAGAACCGCCGCTAGCTTTCTAACAGCCTTATTAAAAGTTGGCAGTGTAGATAGATACCCACTAAATATACTATGTTCATAATTTGTATATTAAAAATTAAGTTTGCAATGTGTATATCCAAAAGAATAGCTGATTAACAAACCTAACATATTATTTTTAATAAATTAATCCATTTATTTAAGACTTTACTTATAAATAACATAAGTAAAAAGTAAAAACGATCCTATTATGATCCCAAATATAGGTTCACATTATCACAGAATTGCCGCACCTTTAAAAAACGTTGATTATGTTATGTTGTAAATTTTGATAGTCTATTTTTTGTATTTTTATTATAATTATTAAAAATTTAAGAAAATCTCTTATTAGTACTTATCCAAGAAATGTTCTTTTGTTAATTAGCCTATTTGAATTAAACGTCAATAATCAATATGTTAATTAATCATCCCCATTTTATAGCACATATCTATAAAATGTACGGATATAAAATCCATGGAACACCTGCGAAATTAACACAATAACTTAATCAACATAATTACCATAAATTAGGTACGAAACAGTCATAGTAATACAGTGGCAGTGGGCAAAAAAAATCTTTTCAAAGCTTACGACTTTATAATATGCAGCATATAAAATATTTATAACTAACGAACTTAACCATGTGCCTTTTTTATTAGAACCCCACGTGTTATAGAATAATTTTAACTTATAATAAATCTAAAGTAGTTATTTAAATAATATCGTTAGTTATTTTGGGCATTTATTTACCATACGAAATCTATTTCAAAAACTAATATGAAAAAAGCCTATGTCCCTTTTATTTAATCTTACGTTTATGCCAAACTACATTGGGATTGCAACAAAGAAAATAAACTCACTATCACGTTGTGTATAATGTTATTAGTAAGGATAAGCAAGAAACCATAAATCAAAGTTAAAATCTACGGCAAAAAAACTATCTCTACATTACATAGATAATACAAACTAAGGCTATAGAAAAAGACTAGAAATTATAGTATACAGCCATAACAAGTTGTAGAGTTTCTCAAAATACATGTAGTTAAAGAAGGAAACTTGTTATTCACGAAACGTGTACGACAACTATACATATTATAAGCGTAACGCTTAGCATAACCTGTCATCTGTGACCTAGAGCTTAATAAACTCATCTAATAAAGATTTATGAAGGCAATTTTATAATCATGTCATATCAGGAACATCTGACTGTGCTATTGACTCACTTTGCCCGTATAAGTATATTTCCAATCTATTTATCCAGATGTACATGTACGAGTACCTAGTTTCAAATTGCCGAACATGATTTCGGTGTTTCTTTGTTTAATTAAATATTATGCTTAACAGGAAATAATAATATAAATGTTGACTGTTAATTTTAAATTCGAATATTAATAATAATCGATATTCTCGAAAACATACTCTCATTAACTATACCATAACATAATAATACTCATTCCTTAATTAACTAGAGGTATAAAATGTAAATTCACGAAATTCTAAATTGAAATATATTCTTCACCGTCATTTCACGCTTATTTTTTGATGTTCTATAACGTGTAAGATATTTTTATATATCGCCATTTGAGATCAGCGATTATGTACATAGATAAAAATTATTTTATATATCTTTACGGGCAAAATTAATTAAATTGCCGGAGAAGCGGAATTTTTCTTGATCTTGTCGATTGACTGTCAATATGTTAAAGATGATATCAGCCAAATAATAAATATTTAAATAGCTTGCTATTCAGAACACATACAATGATGGTCATAGTTTTTTTTTTATCTTTTCTTAAAGATCTCTTAGTTGAGCGTAAAATGAATCTCGTACAGGTACAATGACAATGAGGTTGAGGTTTTATCACATCATACTCGTATCTGCAGATCGAATATTACTCTAGTAGGTACTAAGTAGGTATCGTACGTAAGATTATAGCATTAAATATAGTTTTATCCTGTTCCATAGAACTAAAATTGAAGTTTTGTTTTTATTTAAAAAACCCAATTGATGTAAAAATATACCTATTGCGTATAAAAACAAATAAACTTAATAAGGTTTAGACAAATTAATAACGAAAAAAATATAATAATTACATTATTGATTAGATACAGAGCGATGTTTGGAATTCACTGCCGACGCGCGACATTAAATTAGTTCGAAGAATGTTGTTTGATGTAAAAATTTGTCTTTAAATCCCGTTAATTGATACATAGTTACGGAATTTATAATTATTATAAAACTCTTTTAAATTATTATTCACACTCAGTATACTGGAAAACTAAAGTTATTCAAACAATATGTATTATGTATGTATCTATACAAAACAAAGTTTTAAGTAGATTATATTTAAACATTTATTTATTCAAAAAAGGTTAAAAATATTCTTGCTAGTGTAAAAAAATATATAATATACCTTGTTTCTTGAAAAAGCTTAGTTATACTAACAATTTTCATCTCTACATAATTTATCTTAAATGGTTACAAAAACATCAGACGTAACACTCGCACAATACACACATGTATAGCGCAATCAGTGTGAAGGTATACAGTAGCATAAACAGAGTCCCGCAGGCGGCCGGCCACTAAAAGCCGTAATTAAACTAATTATTTATTATTAGCCGCCACTCGTCCCGCTTTTCGCTCGGGGAAAAAGTCAAGTTCCGACCCGTCCGCAATTTATAACATAGTACCACATAACTCTATTTGCATCGAGCGATGCCGCGACATTTCACTACTTAAAAGTTTTTAATAAACATATCACCTTTTAGATTTAGTTTAGAAAACATTGTTTATAATATTTAAATGAAAATTATTTGAATACACTACAATGCTAGATACTTTTTTTTTTTAACGTTGGGAAATGCATTTACGCACGAGGTGTGGGACTCACCGGCAAAGCCAGTACTACCCACTAAAACCCAACAAAACCTTCCCCCGTCTTAATGGGGCGTCGCAGGATCGCTTACGCATTCAACTACGACGCCCCGACGGCAGGTCTGCCGAAGCAGACCACAACAACCACGGGGTTGCTCCAAGGTCCACTCTGCTATTCAGCTATTATATCAGGAGCAACCCGCATGGTACACCACCCTCCGAAGAGGGCCACCTCCCACCGCCCACCGAAGTGGGCCACCTCCCTGTGCGTTTCTTGGCTTCGCGCCCGGTTGGGTTGCCGGGCACTACTAAGCCCCCCCACCACGACAAGGTGAACGCACGTTGGGGGGGGGGACAATACTAGATACTGCTTTTACTCTCGATTCTGTATCCTTAAATTAAAATCCATATTTAAGAGAAAAATAAATAAATGTATAAACTTCTTAAACCTCTTTTCATCGTGAATTGCCCAGGCGATAAAAAATAATTTGGACAATTTTTTCATGAATACTTTTATTTTTCTACCACAAGGTATTATTCCCAAGAACAGACTAGACATAACAACAGTTAGTGCATAAGCTTTACAGAGCAAAAAGCTTTCATTGACAAATAAAATTTTCATACCCTTACTGAAATAAACCCTTTGCCGTTTTTATATACTCCTACATACATAGTTCAGGGAAACATTTTACAATCCCTTACGATTTTTATATATAGCAATATACACACTAACATAACGTTTTACAAAAACAAAAAATGAATTTTGAAGATCAAAAGATAATTAGTAATTATAGTTCCATCTGTTATTTTAGTAAGCCACATTAGAAACCTCTTTTATCAGACTCTGGTTCGTTGGGCTTCAAGGTCGCGCTGCTTCCCGCGTGAGGCAAGTTCCGGTGTTAGCCAACGCTTCGCCTAATTGTTGTCGAAGTTGCTTCATCGATCACTTGTTTATCGGCTATTAGGGGATAATCGTATGTTAAGTTCTGCTATTAGTGATGATAAAATGAACATTAGGCTGTAACATAAGTTGAATATTTTGAAATAATTATGTATTTCTTGAAGTAGGTACACATACTTCAAGAAATACATAATTATTTATTTATTGAAGGTATTGAGAGTAATGGTTTTTAATATACTCGTAAATATTGATAATATTTTATGTATTATTTATATATAGATCCTCGACAATGGAGCGAAGCCGCAGTTACGGCATGGCTACGTTGGGCTGCTCGGGAGTTCTCCTTGGAAGGCGTAGCACTACAACAGTTCGCACGTGCACAAGGAAAGGATATCTGTGCAATGGGGCGGGAGGAGTTCGTCGCACGCGCACCCGCTTTTATGGGCGATATACTGTGGGAGCACCTGGAAATTCTACAAAAAGGTAGCTTTTATTTTTTCATTTAAATTATTAAAGATAAGTCCTCTTGGCTGCATTTCGGCCACAACGGCCAATCTCACGAGGATTAGCGAACTATAAGAAAATATAATAATAGTGCACAAGTGAGTGCATAAACAGATTTGCTCTCTATACTTACAATGCACTCACTACTCCTTTCTCTCATATTCTAGTGGAAAGAAAATTAAATTATAAAAAATAATAAATAAGATGTTTTTTTTTTGGCACAAATTAATTTTATTAAAATCTGTCACTTGCATCTAATGATCTCGCATTCTAATGATAGGTACATACACACACAATATACATTATACATATTTGAACCCTACTGAGACTTAGTTTACAAGCTTAGCTCTAGAGACAAACTAAATTTTACAAAGATTTTTTACTACATAATAATAATTTAATGTAATTTTATATTTGCTTTGTCAATATTTTTTTTACACCAGTGTTACCATTATGACAATAGTGCATAACATAAAATACAAAGGCATACATTACTTAGTAGGATTAGCAAATAGAATCTCGTAGTTGCAATAATTGAAATAATAAAATTATAATTCGTAATGGTGTGTATTCTGTTTTCATAAAATATAAAAATATATTTTATAATCTGGCCTAGCTATCAAAAATGTCTTGGTCCCTATTACAAAAATAAAAAAAGTTTTTTTATTTTCCCGCATTTCCGGATAGACAAATTGGACATATGTAGGTGCCACTACGTAATAACAAGTCATGACTATGTTTGCTACGATAAACAAAGATAAAATTTAATTAAACTTCAAATGGCATATAGCAATAGATAACAACCCATTTAAATTTTCATCATTCATTTTGGGTTTCTAATACTCTATATTTACTTTTAGATGTCGAAAAAGAACGATCTCTCCTTGCAAACGTGCCACCGAACATGTATGAGAGCAATGTGTGCTTACCAGAGCTCTCGGACTACATACCGCCCCCCGCGCACCACTATAACAACAACAATAATACCGGTAAGTACATATGTACTATGTAAACCAAATGTATTTATAATATGAATTTAATATTTGTACGCTGATCATTTCAAGGTAAGTACTTACTTGTAATATCTATGCTATTATTAAAAAGCTTAAAGAAAAGTTTGTTTTTCTTTGTTTGTTAAACACGCTCTGGAAATTACCCGTCAATATATTTTTTTGCATTTTGTAGTCTATTTAATGAATTTAATTAATATCTATGTTTGGAAAATTGTTTATGTTATATTGTAGTTAAACTTATGTAATGGTTGCGAATCACAATGCGATGTCGTGTCAAGTAATATATGCAGTATCGAATTAATTTCACTCATTTAAAATTCTTGTTTCTACAAATCTCTACTTTAAACATAAAGCTTGGATCAAAAGCTTAGTACAAAGTTAAGCTTTAGTTTTGACAACCAATAACTTAGTAGAAATTACTAACGAATACAGTGTACACGATCTCAGATATAGTATAAGAGATAAGAGTATATTTATTTTAACGATAAACCAAGTCTCATTAAACTACCATTGCAGATAACCCGACAATTATGAGCTAGTTACGACCCCCATAAACGATATCGGTGCTTTTACAACGTTAAAAGTTGTTCCTTTTGACATTCAATATGTATCAATAATGAAGTGTTGTTTCAAATAGTTCATTTATTAACGAGGATAGTAGCTAGAGTAGTAAAGAAAATATTTTTAAGTAAACACTGTATATTACACCATTATATTGTTACCAGTATTACTATTTTATAGATATATGAAATGAATTTATCAATAAGAAAAGCATAAAAAAGCATACTATGCTCTAGTATTTATTCAGTAGACGAGTCCTGTGCAATCTCAGGGATAGGCCATTTCCATTTAATATAAAAAACGCGTTTATTGCGCTGTAAATCATAGCGCGGGATGTTTTGACTGCGCTCGCTGAACGCCACTGAAATAATAAATTAACTAAGAGACACGAAACCCTCTTCATTTAACACGGGTGGTCCTAGTGTATAACTGGTAAACAAGCCGAGAAATTTTCACTAAAAAAATAATAAAAAAAGTATACAATATAGAAAAAAATACAGAAACATTTTAACATTCGTAATAATTCTTCTATAACTTGTAAGTCGGAATTTATTTGAATTTATAACTAGATGTCAACTATACCTACTTTATATTTATTTTGCAAAATTATTACCTCCTTATCTTAATGACTTCCTTATTGGACAATGTATCAATAGAATTCAAATTCGTCCAAGTACCTATTAATCATCATTAATCCGATTACGTAGATATGACCATATGTTATTAAACTGATTTAATTATATTACTAAATAGGTATATATTTTATATTTGCCTCATGCAACTACAAATAAAGGTAGTGAAATTAAAATTATATTTCAATTTTTACTTGATAATTTCAAATAGATAATAATAAGTACCATGCTGTATTGTTTTAAAATTGTACTTCTTTTTTAGTGTAATAAAGAATTAAATAAATAAATAAATAAGTAATAATGTCCTCCCAACCGATTTCAGCCACGGCCAGATGTGCACTAGATACTCGTATTATAGTGCAGCGCGTGTACGAACAGACACAAATGTAGAGTACATTTTTATATATATATAACAAACATACTATTTGTGCCACTCTCATACTCCGATGTGACGAGTACTCGACACGACCAGTGAATGTTAAGGCGCAGGACCGACGGCTTTACGTGCTCTTCGAGGCACAGGGATGAGACACCGCCAACTTCCCAACTCCGGGCTGTTGCTGAGGCTTATTAAGCAGAAAGACTCAATAACTAAAGTTAGCCCGACCCAGGACTCGAACCCAGGACGAATCGAGGCAAAATATATAGGCATAGTTGAAAATTATTTTGAGGTTTACACCTCAAACACTCAGTTCCATAGCTTCTCAAGATATTTTCAGAAGTATCGAACTCTAATGTTAAAAATAACGGTATAATTTACTGGGGCCGTGCTATACACTTGTAAAATACAATTATAATATGATACTGATAATTATAATAGATACTTAGTTCGTTTCGCGGTGCATCACACATTATTTCCAGTCGGGCGAGTGCGTGAAGCAAGCTACGACCTTGGCGTAGTTTTTCCGCTCTCTTTCAGCCGATCCGAGGTCTGTCTTGTACTACATGTGTCATCTTCACTTTTTTCATAACAAAACAACACTAGCGTAACGCGTTTACTGACTATGGTATTTGTTTTTAAATCACTAATAATATAGGTACCATATCATAAAAGGAAGTATTTCTTAACACAATAAATGCATACTAATCCATCCCTACCTACTAATAATATAAATGTGAAAGTTTGTGGATGGATGCATGGATGAAAGGATGGATAGATGAATGGATGGATGTTTGTTACTGTTTCACGCCAGAACGACTAAACGGATCTGGATGAAATTTGGCACAGAGATAGATTATAGTCTGGAATAGCACATAGTTACTTTTTATCCCGGAAAAATGTACAGTTCCCGTGGGATAGATTTGTTTTTGTCTAAGGACGAACCCGAAGCGAAACGAGAGTGAGTCGCTAGTATAATATATAATCATAATTTAAATGACTTTCCTTTAAATCTTAATTTGAAAATACATATTTTAAGCTTTTATCATTGGTAACAACACTATCAACAAAGAAATGAGACATAAAACATATATTTTCTTTAGATGTTATATTATTGTGTTAATTATATTATTTCTAAATATTACTCTATTAGTGATCTTGCTCTAAGAGTAGCTCTTTGATGTTCGATGTCTACGAGTTTTATCTGCGGACATGATATTTAAGTTCCTTCATTAAGTATTCTGTTACATCTCACAAATATCATTTATTCGTGACAGTTTTTTTCATCGTCTTCTCCAATGCTGATTTACAAAGCTAAGGATATAATTAAAACTTACGTTAACCAGGTGTTCTTACATTAACATGTATGTTAAATATAGAATGATTATTAAGTATAATTATAGTTCTTAAGAAACTTTAATAAATTTCAAATGTTATCATATTTACCAAGAATTACATTTCATAATATTTATAGGCAAAATGTTTATAATTTATTTCCACTCTATTTTAAAATATAATCCTGTAAAGACGTGAAGGAATAGAATTTCATATTTTATATCACATACCTGATTGTTTCTTTCTAATGATTGTAGAAAGCTATACGTATGTATTGATACAATTTGGTTATATTTGTTGTATTGGTTTAATATTTTTCATGAATAGTGAGTGAGGCTCGTTCAGGTTGCAATAGTTTGAAGGTGAAGTTGAGCCCCTACCACTGCCCCGTCTCTCTCCACTGTGGGGCGCTCAGACAGTCTTTAGGCTACTGTGCTAACAGCTTATTGTTCTTTCAAATATTTTTACATCTATTTTATATTTATATTATAATTATTGTTATTTTTTTAACTTATGTGCTATAAGAGGCGTATTATTTCTAATTTAACACATTTTAAATAAAATAATATGTTGTATTAGAATTTCATAGTGAAGTGGTTCACTCGGACAGGTTTTATATAAAGTGATCGTGTCCAAATATGGGAGTACTTGACTCTGGTTAAGCTATGTTCTTACACCCGAGTTCTCGCGCCAGGGACTCTACGGAGCTAGACTCTCTCATGGTGTGGCGTGGTGAGTCCTTACCAAATATCACTGCCAAATGTACGTATACGTTTCAAATTGTATTTTTAAAGTCGCTTTTTAGCTATAGTCAATTTGTTTTATTTCATTAATAAATAAAATCCTGAAATTTGTACCGACATTAAAACGTAAATTACCTCGTACCTGGTTAATTAGGTAAACACTTGGGTCTTATCATGAATGCAAGGTGTCAATAAAAGTTATTGCCGAAGTAATTATAGATTGTAATTGTATTTTTATTTACCTACCCCTGAAACATTCACACTTATCGCGCTATCAATTAAAAAGTGCCACAAGGTTAACATAACGATGTTAATCCATTACAAGCATTTCGCGTCCTCGCACCAACTCGACCGAAGAAAAGTAATGCAAGTGGGCCGACAACTCGAAGGTTAGTGCAGAAAACTGCGTATATCAAATATGTAGCAATTGCACTAATATTAAAAAAGGCGTGTGGCATACGACATACGTGCGCAACGCGCGCTATGTGCGCAATGTGTGCGCATCCGCGCTGTCGCAAGGCGATCGCGGCGCACATCCTCGCGTTGCGCCACTAATCGCCGGACATGCGCCTCGGAATACTTACGAAATATCTTACGAACTGCACAACACCTAGTTTTACCGATTTCATGGTCACAGTAAACTTTAAGTTCGTAGACTTCTTCGAAATACATGAAACGATCTAGTTAAGTCATAAGAAGACCATCTAGTACAACCTTCATTAATGTTCAAACTTAGAACATATCGTCCAATAGATACTTCGATTTTCCAGCAACTTGCTAAACATCCGGTGTGAGTAACAAATTAAAACCTGTTATACATTTCTTTTAATGAAGCCGTATCTAGTACGATTAAAAGAAACTCCGCCAATGAAATGTTTCTTCATTCATAAAGCTGTTAACCGTTCGGGAATTAATGAACGAATAATGAACCATATCTCATCATTAAACCTTAGCGTATTAAACATATATCACGGGCTCATCCTTATTAGCGACTTTACGAGCTACGTGGATCTGTTTGACCAATGATGTTAATTTATATCCATACATGATATGGGCAGTTAATCTAATGTTGACGCTTGTATCCCGCATAGAGGTTATATATCAATGCACTCAATTCGAATATTTTTTTAAGCTCTATATTTTACTTGAATTTAAATGCAAATAAGCTCAAATATGTAAATTTTTTTGTACATTTTGGTAGTAGAAACATAATAACAAAGCTTTTATAAGAACTTTTATTGTATTATTTGCCAGGTATATAAAATAACACGTACTCTATTAAGAGATCTATAATTCAATATCATTTACATCGCACACAAGCTTCAA